TATGTATATATGGGCATATACATAACGGCATTGGGTTTTCCAAACAACAACAACAACAACAATTGCAATGGCAACAACATTCGCAATAATTCACATTAGGCCGCGCCGCATATTTCTCTTGGCGCAGCTGAAAGAAATTAATTATGAAAATACTCAGCGCATGGGCCATAAATATTGTTAGAGGCGCAAAGAAAAAAAAAAAAGGCCAGCAACGCCCAGCAGCAACAGCAACAACAAATGACTTTTTATGTGTCAGGTGGAAGTGCAAATGATTATTAAGATGCAAAATATGACCCATAAAAAAAAGGCAGCATTAAAACTAGACAAAAAACGACGAGGCAGAAAACATAATTATTAAATAAAAATGGCAAATAAATAAAATATTATAAATATACCGAGGCAACTGCAAGTCGAAAGCTCAAAAGGAGTGAAGCAAGAGCTAAACGAATTGCATTAGCTCCAGTTAAGCAGCGCCTGCAGCTATCATTTACAACTAGATAATGATAAATTGAGAAAGATTATATATTTCATAAAAAATATTTCAAATTCAATCATTATTTTCACGCCTTTGGCTCTGTTGGCAGCAACTTTTCTCTTTAGCAGCAAATAAAACTTTTGTGTCAAGAGAAAATAATAATAAAAAAAAGCCGTCACAATACAGTTTAATTAACTAATTAATTAGCTTTACTTAACAATCAAATTCCCATGGCAAAGCCCAACAGCTGCAGTCAAAATAAGCAGAGCGCTTGCGCGAATGTGAGAGTCAGAGTAAGAGAGACAGATAGAGAGGGAGAGAGAGTGAATCTTTTTAGTGAAGTGTGTATTGAAGAAGGCTAAGAATTAGGGCTGTCAAAAAAAAAATATATATATCGATATTTTTGTATGAAAAATATATTTATAACGAAATATTTGTTTTGTCTAAATATTGAATATTTTTTAAAAATATTTTTGATGTATTTGAGTAATAAGTGAACCAAGCGAAAAGTACAAAAATTGAAAATGGTGAAAACGAAATATTCAGATTTTAAAAATGGAGCATCCAAATGAAGGTACACATTACATTTGGATGCTCCATTGTTAAGTAATAAAAGCCTCAGATATGGTGTCGCATATAAAAAAAACACTGATAGTTTTTAGTCCCGAATACTGAAGTTAAGCCGTCATAATCATATAAATAAACTCTTATTATTCTCGTTTTTTTTTTTTTTTGGGAGAGAATAAAAGTTTATTATAGGAAAAAGTTCATAATACTAAAAATCGAAAAATATTTGCAAATATCATATTGATATTTTTCAAAATTTTAAATATCTTCGATACGATATTCCAAAAACATTCACCAACCCTACTAAGAATACAAAATCTGTGCTAGGGATACATCCTAGTCGGGTAACCCCCCTTTAAGCCACTTACATAATTTGGACTCATAAATCTCCTCTGGCATTACTCTAAACCAAAGACTTCATATACTCAGCCTGTCACCTGTCTAAAGCACCTTTATTTTATGACTTTTCTGGCCAAATAATTTTCATTTTAATTACAAACGATGAGCTCCAATTGGATAACAATAATGAGAACTCTGGGCAGCAACAGCCTCTCTCATTTGAGTTTACTTTTCTTTTCCATTTCTGTGCTGTCTCTCAATTGTAGCGCGGAAAGTATCTGGGCGGATATTTCTGTTGTTTCAATGTTGCATATCATTTTGCAACAACTTTTCCAAATGACGCTGCACAAAATATCAAATGGGCAAGTGGAAATGAACCGAAAAAAAAAGCAGCAAAACTCGGAGAGACGATATTATGCACCGGAATTTGGGCCACAAGCGAGGATCACGTGACAGCGGGCTTCTGGCGAAATTCCCATTAAGATACATATACATAGTTATATATCCCATATATATCCCATATATACATATATATGTATGCTTGATAAAAACAAGAGTAGTGTGACATAAATAGCTTGGGGCCAGTCCTATCTCGCATTGGTATTCCAGATACTATGCCAGATAGGCAATCACAAATAGACAATGACTGCCAGCCGAATGACCGATTCCTGGTATTGGATGGCGACAATACACAAATGGAGCCAATCAGCAATTGTTGACGCATAATTAAAAGCAATGCCGATAGGCCACACTATGTAGTCTATATCTAATATGTGTTATGATCATGATAAGCCGCATTCGAATTTTTCGTTTAGCAATACGTAATATATTATTATTAATATATTATTAGAGAGAGGGAGAGAGAAGAAGAGATAGGGAGAGAGGAAAAGAGAGAAAGTAGTCTGTACTCATAGTAAAAAGCTATAGCCTTTGGGATTTTTTAGCTCTACGATCTAGAATTACACTTAATTTCTATAGCAGATAATTTTATACCTGCAAGCCATTTACGTTTATAAAAAGAAATCTCTCTTGGAGGCACCTTTCATTCTGTGTGTACTTGTGAAATTATCGGAATACGAGATCCAGATAAATGGAGATTGATAGCAACTTCAATTGTTTAAAAAATAAAAAAACATGCTATACATGCCATTCATATAAAATTTCAGTTTACTAACTTTTGTGGCTTATGAGTTCAKTCGGACAGACAGACAGACATACGGAATGAACGGATGGTCATTTGTGAATATGTATGTAACAGGCAAAGGGAGGCGTGACAGGGCCGATAAAGTGTACATCTTCTTGATCAGAGCAGCCATGGATATACATACATATAGGTATATACCTTGGTGTACAAATTCATCATTTATCATTGCGATAACTCGTGCCACTTCAAATGGACTCTGGATATAAAATAGTCGTATACTAAGGTATAATTATTACTAGAGATCTTATAGTAATATGACCCTAGATACTTCTCTAAAGAAACATATCTGGATATGCCTCTATAGATATAGAAATACATCTATGTATATATAGACTAGCTTAGACTATATCACACGACCTTTGAACTCTAATTGATATGGTAATATATCATATATAGACATGTTCATATCTATATGTATTTTCTTAACTACAACTATAACTCTATATAGACGTATGTATATCAACCTATAGATAACTACAACTTTATCATATGCACTTCCAATTCTAGTTGATATAGATATATATACATGATATATGTATATACAGATATATACGGAATAGATAGATATTATCTATCTATACATAACTAACTCTACATCACACGCACTTCCAACTACAATTGAGATATATTCATTAATGCGAGTGACCCTACTCTATATGTTTGGCCTTGTCTCAACTCCAACTACAGCTCCAATTGCAACTCCGATTCCTCCGTCGTGAAACCACTCGAATGTGATAGAGCTGGTGAAGCTGGCTAATTAGTAGATTGGTTGCGCTTCTCTGTGCTTTGTCGGGCAAGTGCTATTCGGGCCAGCTGGCTGCGACATTTTGCGCAATTTGTTTCATGCAGATAATTTGTGAGCAATGCGCGAATGTTGTGCGGAGTAGTTGGCCTAGCAATCCGGAAAGAGAAACAGTGAAGTGAAGACGGTGACAGAGTGAGAGGGAGAGGGGGAGAGGGGGAGAGAGGGAGAGGGAGAGTAAGAGTGAGAGGAAGAGGGACGGGTATTTCTCTAGCAGAGTCAACAATTGTGACAGCACGCGAGTAATTAACGAGTTTTTCTGTGATTTGTCGCGTAATCGCATTATAAACAAATTATTGACTCGCATCTGGGTCCAATGGAGGAGACATTATGCTCCACAGATCGATCAGTTAGCGAAGACCATCAAAAAGATGGCGCCATCGCACCGAGCTGAGCTGAGCCAAGTCTGTCCGTCTATCCGTCTGTCCGTCTGTCTGTCGTGTCGATGTAACCAACAATTTGCATTGTCTTTGCATAATCGTATCAATCGATGCTCAATTGTCATATTCCAGACCCATTCAGTAAGTCAGCCAATCAGCTAGTCAGCAAGTCAGCTAGTCAGCTATTCAGCACTCCCGGAAGACCGCATTTAACACTGCCTGTTGCGGTGGCACATTCGTTAAGCGTATCAATTGCTTACGATATATATACATACATATTTAATGTATATTGGCATATCCCACGGTTATAGGGTAGACTAGGAAAATAAAATGAAATGAAATGAAAGACATGCCTAGGCAAGGTCCTAGAGCACAATGGGTTAGACTCAAGCTGATGGTAGCTTGATGCATCAACATTTTTTGATAACTAACCAACTCTTGACTCGTTCTTGATTAGCTACCTAACTAACTACTATAATTAGTCACATATCAAATATATATATTTACATACATAATATGTTTTTATAGCCATTTGTTATTTAAGTTAGACTGGCGAAAGTTCTACCAACCGAATATATCCAACTAAACTAGAACTCTTCCAAATAGACAGTTTCCAACTAGATAGCTTATATGTACATATATGTACTATATATGTATATCAATCCAAGTAATTTACGGATTTAGTAGTTCCGTAGTAGTAGCTCTATATATGTTTTTTTTTTTTTTTTTTACTTAATTGCAGATACATTTCTATAAAATATGGGCTCTTCTTTCGCTCATACAGCTCTCAACAGAATTATATATATACATACACATATTGAAAGTGAAGGGATGAAAGTTTGTATGGTAATTCATGGCTAATTTTAGTTTTACACAAAATTTGATCCGATTTTAGACTTTACCTATAAATATATATACTCTTGCTATTTCAAACCTGCGTTATTTCGAACCTCTCATTAATTCAAAGCTATCACTAAGTAATTCGAACTAAAAATCATTGCTAAGACGCAGTAATTCGTACTCATATGGTTAAACACTCGACAATTTTAAGAGTCCCTTGAATTTCGAAATAACGAGAGTCGACTGTATATGATTTTTAGTTTACATTTGAAAGAAATTGGAACAAATTACTTTATATACAGTTCCTTGCCCAAATATTAGTTAATTAGCTGATATTGGCCTAAAGGCAATTAATTAATCAAGCATAGTTGGACAAGTTCAAGCCAAAGGGAGCTGTGCTGTTGGCAATTGGCCAATGCCGTTCACAATGGATCAGCGCGAATGTCATGTGGCCAAGACCCCAGCAGAGCGAAGATCTCACAACAAATGAAATAGCGAGAAGACACACAGAAAGAGAGAGAGTAAGAGAGAAAGAGAGAGAGAGAGAGACGGCATCATAATAATATATGATAATAACAGCTCCCAAGATTGGTAACATAATCGGCGCATTGTGGATTTTTATTGTTATATCCATTGTCGCATGGCGCTCCACTCACCCACAAGACGAAGACGACGACGAGCAGCAGCAGCAGCAACAGCCGCCGCAGCTAACTAGCCAAGTCAAGCTAAGCCTGGCCAACGGCGGCAACCGCAGCGCCACCTACGGCTGTTCGAAAAGCAACAACAACAACAAATTTAATAGTTAGGAAAATAAAAACAAAAACGAAAAAACAAAAAAATTAAAATAACTACAGCCGGCACGTCAGGCCGTGCAGCGGCAAAGGCTGCCGCCGCTCAGGAAAAACAACAGCAAAAACAACAAAAACAACAAAATCACAAAAAAAGTGAAAATTTGTCCGCGTCCAAAAATTATGCGCTTTTCACACGCGCAGCTTCAGATTCAAACGGCGCTACTTGCCCGTCGTCTCATTGTCCCGCTGAAGTTGACGGGTGGAGGGGGCGGTACGAGGGCGGCACTGCGACTGGAGCTGCGACTGGGGCTGGGTACTMTAGCCAGCCCCCAAGACGTGTGACAACGTGCACATCGTAGAACCGGTCGCCCGTTTCGTGCAGCTCTCTGGCTTTGCTTTAGTTTCGCGAAATTCACGTAGCTGCTGAGCGGGGGGACGGATAAACGGACGGACAGGGGGTGGGAGCGTGCAGCAGGGGGGCAATTGCCAGGCCAGTGGAGGCGGCCGGAAAGCAGCTGCTCAAATGAGGCACAGTGAATCAAGGTGAGAAAAAAAACCCGAAATAAAAAAGCAAAGCAAAGCAAAACAAATAAAAATGAAAATGAAAATGAAAATGCAAATAATTAGGTATTGAGAAACCTAATAATAATACTTAAAGCGCATGTCTTGAAGATGACTGGAAAACATAAATCTTAAAACATCATTCTCTATACGCAATATATGCTTGACAAATTTTTATTTTATGAATACAAAAGATCAGTCAAGCAACAGCCTAGGCATATCATAGTTTCATTGAAATAAACTGATTAGATTTAATAGAACACGCTTCGAGTACTACGCTTAATAAATCAAATCAAATTATCGAGTATTATGGCTAGTAAATATTGAATGGGTAAACAGAAAAAAAGACAATGCAAACAAATAGAAGGGCAGATGAATATCTCCGGCTATATTTTGATAAAAAATATATGTACAATATATAAATATATATTCATGTATTATCCATTTA